AACAGAGAGAAGGGGTGCTGGGAGGCGTTGATGCTGCAAGGGTTTGACGGCATTTGGAGGGGAGTGGTGAGGAAGAGAAACGGGACGAAAGGATCCCATTTTTTAGCTCAAGTGTCTGGGTGGATATTATTACCAAAACCCAGTTTTGGATTACAGAGAGGAAGCAAGAATTTGAAGGAGAGAAGGGAGAAAGAGAATGTGCTGTTTCTGAGTTTGAAAGTTTTGAGGAACATCCGAATAGAGATATCTAGGAAGCAGCTGGAAATATGGATCAAAAATTGAAGTGTGTGTATGTGTATTTATTTAAGAGTCATCAGCATGTAGAGACATGGAAATAGTCAGCCTTCAGAGAGAGTATTTAGAGCCAGGAGATGGCCCAGGACTGTTTCTTAGAGAACAGCTACCATGTTCAGTTTGGGAAGAAAATGTTCTTGTTGTGTGCGCATATGTTCTGAAGTCACAGTACAAAATAAACAAAAGTATTCTAGTATACTCCCAAATCTTGTAAACCAATGCACTTATTCATGCATTTTGGGGATTACATCTAACATGGTCATAATAAATCTACATAGTTGCCAAGGAGGGGGAAGTCATAGTAAACTGTTGGTGGTTTCACTTTGTATTTTTTGTTCCACTTCTCTCTCTAGTAATGAAGATAATAGAGAGTTGACCATATTAGTGATGTGTGATTTTTTTAAACAGCCTTTTATGCCCTTAAAAAGTTCTGCTTTAAAGCCTCGATTTAAAAAAAAAGCCTTGATAAATGTAAAGAAACTTAAATCATATCAAGCATCTTTAATGACCACAGTGCTATAAGGCTAGAAATCAACTACAAGAAAAAGCTATAAAATCAAACATGTGGAGGCTAAACAATATGCTGCTAAACAACCAATGCATCATTGAAGAAGTCAAAGAAAAGTAAAAAGAACCCAGAGATAAGTGAAAATGAAAACACAGCGATCCAAAACCTATGGAATACAACAAAAGCAGCTCTAAGAGAGAAGTGTATAGTGATGCAAGCTTACCTCAGGAAACAAAAAGTCTCAGATAGCAACCTTATGCCTAGAGAAAGTAGAACAAACAAAACCCAAAGTTAGGAGGAGGAAATAAATCATAAGGATCAGAGAGGAAATAAATGAAAGTGAAAGTCGATCAGTCGTGTCCGACTCTTTGTGACCTCATGGGCTATACAGTCCATGGAATTTTCTAGGCCAGAATACTGGAGTGGATAGCCTTTCCCTTCTCCAGGGGATCTTCCTAACCCAGGCATCGAACCCAGGTCTCCCACATTGCAGGCGGATTCTTCGCCAGCTGAGCCACACTGGAAGCCCAATGAATGAAATAGAGGCTAAAAAAACAATAGAAAAGATGAATGAAAGCTGGTTCTTTGAAAAGATAAACAAAATTGATAAACTTTTAGCTAGACTCACCAAGAAAAAAAGGAAGCGAGTTCAAACCAATAAAATCAGAGGTGACAAAGGAGAAGTTACAACTGATGCCACAGAAATAAGAAGATCATGAGAGACTAGTGTGAGCAAGTGTATGCCAACGAAGTGGGCAACCTGGAAGAAATGGACCAATTCTTAGAAAGGTACAATCTCCCAAGACTGAACCAGAAAGAAATAGAAAATATAAACAAATCAATGACCAGTACTAAAATTGAATCAGTAAAAACTCCCAACAAGCAAAAGTCTAGGACCAGGTAACTTCATAGGTGAATTCTAACAAACATTTAGAGAAGAGTTTAACACCTATTCTGAAACTGTTTCAGAAACTGCAGAGGAAGGAACACTTCTGAACTCATTCTATGAGTCCACCACCATCACCCTGATACCAAAACCAGACAAAGATATCACACACAAAAATTTACAGTTTTTGTGTAAATTATCACTGATGAACATGGATGCAAAAATCCTCAACAAAATACTAGCAGACCAACTCCAGCAATATATTAAAAGGTTCAGACACCATGATCAAGTGGGGTTTATCACAAGGATGCAAAGATTTTTCAGTATCTGCAGATATCATATCTATCACATTCACAAACTGAAGAATAAAAATCATATGAGTGTCTCATATACAGAAAAAGCTTTTGATAAAATTCAGCATCCATTTATGGTTAAAAAAACTCTTCTGAAAGTAGGCATACAAAAAAATTGAAAAATGAAATGAATTCCCTAGCAGTCTAGTGGTTAGGACTCTGCAATTCCATTTCAGGGGGCACAGGTTTGATCCCTGGTCAAGAAATGTGGGATCCACTCCCCACATGCCACAGCACAACCCAAAAAAAGGTGGGGGGGGTTGAAAGTGGGCATAGAGGGACAATACCTCAATAAAGGCCATATATGACAACCCCCCCTGACCTAACATTATAGTCAACAGTGAAAGGCTGAAAGCATGTCCTCCAAGATCAGGAATAAGACAAGAATGCCCAGTCTTGCCATTTTTATTCAACATAGTTTTGGAAGTCCTAGCCACAGAAATCAAAGAAGAAAAATAAAAGGAATTCAAATAGGAAAATAAGTAAAACTGTCATTGTTTGTAGATGACATGATGCTATAGATAGAAAATCCTAAAGATGCTACTAGTAAACTACTAGAGCTCATCAATGAATTCAGTAAAGTTTCTAGATACAAAGTTAATATACAGACAGGTTGCATTTCTATACTCTAACAACAGAATATCAGAAAGAGAAATTAAGGAAACAGTACCACTAACCATTGCATTAAAAAGAATAAAAGACCCAGGAATAAATCTACCTAAGGAGGGAAAAGACCTGTATTGTGAAAACTGTAAAATCCTTATGAAAGAAATCACACAGCAAAAATAGAAAGATACACCATGTTCTTGGATTGGAAGAATCAGTATCGTTAAAATGAACATACTACCCAAGGCAATCTATAGATGCAGTGCAATTTCTGTCAAATTACCAATGGCATTTTTCACAGAACTCAGACAAAAAGCATTAAATCTGTATAGAGACACAGAAGACCCAGAAAGACAATCTTGTGAAAGAAGAATGAAGCTGGAGGAATCATACACCCTTACTTCAGACTATACTACAAATTTACAGTAATCAGAACAGTAGGGCACAAAAACAGATATGTACATCAATGGAATGGGGTAGAAAGCCCAGAAATAAACCCACACACTTATGGTCAATTAATCTATGACCAAGGAGGCAAGAATATACAATGGAGAAAAGATAGTCTCTTCAACAAATGGTGCTGGGAAAACTAGACAGCTTCACGTACAAGAATGAAATCAGAATATTTTCTAACACCATATACAAAAATAACTCAAAATGGGTTAAAGAACTAAGACTGAAAACCATAAAACTCCTAGAGGAAAACATAGGCAGAACACAGACATAAATTGCAGCAGTGCTTTTTTGGAAACATCTTCTAGAGTAATGGAAAATAAAACCAAAAACAAACAAATGGGCCCTAATTAAACTTTTAAAAGCTTCTGCACAGCAAAGGAAACCATAAACAAAATGAAAAGACAACCTACATACTGGAGAAAATATTTGCAAATGATGCTACAGACGGGATTAATTTCTAAAATATACAAACAGCTCATATAGCTTAATATCAAAAAAGCAACCCAATAAAAAAATGGGTGTAAGACCTAAATAGACATTTCTCTAAAGAAGACCTACAGATGGCCAACAGGTATATGGAAATATGTTCATATTGCTAATCATTGTGAAAGTGAAGTTGCTCAGTCGTGTCTGACTCTTTGCGACCCCATGGACTGTAGCCTACCAGGCTTCTCCGAGTCCATGGTATTTTCCAGGCAAGTGTACTGGAGTGGGTTGCCATTGCCTTCTCCAGGGGATCTTCCCATCCCAGGGATCGAACCCAGGTCTCCCGCATTGTAGGCAGACACTTTACCCTCTGAGCCAGCAGGGAAGCCCATTCTTGCTAATCATTAGAGAAACGCAAATCAAAACGAGGTATCACCTCACAGCAGTCAGGCTGGACATCATTAAAGAGTCTACAAATAATACCTGCTGGAGAGGGTGTGGAGAAAAGAGAACTCTCTTAACACTGTTGCTGAGAAGGTAAATTATTACAGCCAGTACGGAGAACAGTATTGCAGTTCCTTAAAAAAACTAACCATATGATCCTGCAGTCCCACTCCTGGGGATATATCTGGAGAAAACTATAAATAGAAAAGATAGATTCACACTAATGTTCACTGTAGCACTATTGACAATAGCCAAAACATGGAAGCAACCTAACTGCCCGTCAACAGATGAGTGGATAAAGAAGATGTGATATATATATATATATATATATATATATATATAGTGCTTGTGTATGTATACACATATACATACACACAACCATACTACTCAACCATAAAAAAGAATGAAATGATGCCATTTGTAGCAATATGGATGGACCTAGGCATTATCATACTAAGTCAGAGAAAGACATATCATCTGATATCACTTATATGTAGAATCTAAGAAAAATGATACAGATGAACCTATATGCAAAACAGAAACAGACTCACAGATGAAGAAAAACAAACTTTTGGTTACCAGAGGCGAAAGCTGGGAGGGAGAGGATAAATTAGGAATTTGGGTTTAACATGTAAATATGTAAAATAGATAAACAACAAGGGCTTGCTGTATAGCACAGGGAACTAAATTCAGTATTCTGTAAATATATAACTATATATTTAACTACATAAAAAATATAAAAGATATATAAATATATTTTAAAAAGAATATGTAATATGTATAACTGAGTCCCTTTGCTGTACACTTGAAACTAACACATTATAAATTAACTATACTTCAGTTTTTAAAAATTCTGCTTTAAACTTGTCTTCACATGTCATTGTGCTAGGTTTTTGGCTTTTACCGACTGAATGAAATGTGATCGCTTCAAGGAAACTAGTCATTTTAGTCATCATGTTACGTTTTACTCTTTAAAAATGATCGTGCTATTACGTTATGTCACTTTAATTGTTCTTTCCTTCCCTAGGAGCTGATGCAACAGAATGGGATTGGTTATGTTTTAAATGCCAGCAATACCTGCCCCAAGCCTGACTTTATCCCCGAATCTCATTTCCTGCGAGTGCCTGTGAATGATAGCTTTTGTGAGAAAATTTTGCCGTGGTTGGACAAATCAGTGGATTTTATTGGTAAGTAGCTCAAGTGATATCGCAAATCCTTTGGGTTATAGCTCGTGTATGAGTATACCCCGCCCTCCCCTTTTCTCTCAGTAGAGAAAGGGAACCTACTTCCGAGATTTCACAAGTCTGAAAACAAACATGAGCCACTCGTCTCATTCCGTGGCCAGGTGACGTGTGTGCCGCGTGGGCCGTGCTGTCCCTGAGCGACTGGCCTTGTGACAGCTTACTCCAACATTCCCAGGGTTAAGCCTGATGGGACCTGCGATTACAGATTTGCGAGTGTTTGAAAGTGGGTTAAACTTTCTGGGATTAAACTTGCCAGCCACTTCATCAGATCCTCTAAAAGACTTCTGGAAACTCTGGTGGCATTCCTTAACCTCTTTCTGCCTTGCTGCTGTGCTTTCCCCAGAGAACAGCCAAGTCCTGTGGAAACTAATCCCATTACATTTAAAGTTTTTATGTCACAAGATTCCTAAGCCTCCATCTGTGTGCCAGCAATTTCAAGTATTGGTAGTATTGGGTCTAATGAAATTCCAACACACACACTCACATTCGTGTGGTCATTCCTTGGTGATGACTGTGACAGGGTCTGGTCTGGATGGTACTTTGTTCTGCTCAGTGGGCCCGTCAGCCCTGGAGCCGCCCCAGCCCCAGCTCCCAGCTTCTGGCACTGCTATGACATTTTTGGTGCCTTGAAGTCAGGTCTGCTGGTAGGAAATCAATGACATTTACTTGAAATGTGGTTTTGGTGGAAAATGGTTAAACCAACGACGTGGGTTCGTTGCTCCTGGGCAGCATGACTAGGTGTGACTCTTGATGTCCATGTGAGTTTTCGTTGGTTTTCCCCCAGTCATGAGCTGGAGCACCCTCATCCATAATTAAATACTCTTGAATTGATTACTGAAAGTGTTTTTTTAAAAAAGAACTGATTCCTTTTAAACAATGTAACTATGTAAATTAAGCCCCTCACTCTATCCTTTCATCTGTGAGAGGAATTTTCTAGACAGTGCTTTTGGAACTTTGGGTAATTTTGAAACAGATCCCCCTTTTCTCAAGATTTCAGATTGCCAAGACCTCTCTTTAATAGGCATGCATCCTGTGAAACACCAGAAGATAAATGGCTTAGATAATTCTCATGAAAATCATCACAAACAAAACTCCCGTAATTAATTTTTCCCGCCATTCTACTTCTAGGAAGTATTCAGCATATCATTCAGTGTTTGCCTGTTTGAAAGACGACGGTTATAGTTAATGTTCCCATTAAATGTCACATTGATCCAGAGGTAATTGGCTCTGATTTCAGCTAAAAGTACGGTTTCAGAGTCTAAATTCAGAAGAAAACCTGATTCTGTTAAGTCATGACAGTGTCTAAGCTTTAGGAGGGTTGGTAGGAAAGAGGGAACTTTGCCTCCAGCTAACTTTTCTTCGATTTCATGGGAGCTATTGGCTGCTTTTAATTCATACAAAAGAGTTGGTGAGATACATACCCAAATATATATTCTAATTGTGTATCTGAAGATATTCTTACGTACCAGTAGTTCACTTGCTTGGCCCTGTTTACTGTTAGGGCCACCACCCTTTCCCCACCCAGACCATCCAGTGCAATACCTCCAGCCCACTGTGGAATTCAGCCTGTGCTCACTAGGGGTGCTGGTCTTCTGCAGGCCATTTAAAGCCTTGGTTAGTCATGGCAGAGAACACAGAGATGCGCCCTCGTACCAGGACTTACCCACTTACAGGCTCGTACTTCTCCTCCTTCAGGGTAATTTCAGTAGGGTCCCGGCCTGCTGGAAAGGCTCAGGTTTGAGTGTCGCCTCTGCTTGTAGGAGAGGGAGGCAGAGGCGAGCACAGTCGCCTGCCTGTGCTTGGGACCCTGACCCGGCCCCCGGCCCAGCTGACTGTACAGGCTCCTGCCCCCCCTCCCCCACAGCAAACTCGGGGCTTTTGTAGGCAACACAGGGAGGTAATTAAGAGGATATACTTCGAAGCCAAACTGTATGAGTCCTGCCTCCCTTGGTTATCAGTTAAGTGATTCTGGGTGAGTTACTAAAAATTATCTATTCCTTAGTCTACTGATCTGATGACTGAAGATAATGTATTTTATATACTTATATATATATATATATTATATATAATATACTTATATACTTATACTGTATACCTGTATATACCTTATAAGGATATTGTAGGGATTAAAATAGATAATACATATAAACATTTGCACGGTGCTCGACTTGTAACTGGCTCTTAATAAATAGTAGCTGAATTAAAAAATTATCTGAGCAGCCTTTTTCTATTTTTTCTTAGAGGTGTACTCTGCCACTTCAGTTATTACTTCCTCCATTTTCACCTTTGTAACTTCTCCCCTTCATCCATTTCATTTGTTATCTTCTTTTTTTTTTAATTAATTCATTTTTCAGTTGAAGGGTAGTTCCTTTACTGAATTGCATAGGTTTCTGCCAGATATCAACATGAATCAGCCATAGGTATATACATATGTCCCCTCGCTCTTAAACTTCTTCCCACCTCTTTTTTAACCTAGAATTGATAAAAGAAAAATATAGGCAAAAATGAAATATATATATATCTTTTTCTTATCCTTGGATTGTTGTAGTAGCAACCTGCTTTTGTTTTAATTTCCAGTTTTCCCCATCCATGCCTTCCTGTTACCCCTATTCAGCACCTGCAGAGGCTACTTAAGTGTCTCGGGTCCTTTGCCCGAGTTTCCCAGACTCTCCAGCAGCCGCTCCCCACCTCTGAACCTCCTGTTCAGGCCCTTCCCACCCAGCACGCACCAGGCAAGCCTCTTTTCTGAGCAGTGGTCCAGCCCCACTGTGGGTCTTTGTTGAATGTTTCCCTTCTCTCCTCCAGGTCTATGGGCATTCCTTCCTTTGCCTTAAGAGACTCAGTTTAGCACACAGTTCTGACAAGAAATGTATTCTAATGAGCTCCACTTCCATATAATCACTTTTTAATTAGGTTTTTAAAATACGTCATCCAAACAGTTGTAAAAGCAGTATAAGTACCACACAGAAAATTTGAAAAACAGAGAAAAGGAAACCTATACCCTCAACATCCTAACACATCTGTTATCATCATGGCTTTATTTCCTTCCAGCCTTTTTCAATTTTTTCAATAAAGATTACCTTTTAAAATACGTATCGGCCAGCCAGCCTGTGTATACAGGGTTTATACTGTGTGCTCAGTGTTCAGTACTTTGGGAGAGCGTTAGAGGCAAAACCCTTCTCGGCCCTTCGAGTCTAGTTCTGAGATAATTACTAAAAATGAGAGGATACTGTCAACATTAAAAAAATATTTCAAGCCAGCCTATTTCCAGTAAGAATTTGAAGCAGCTTACAGGAGGAGGTTGGGATCAGAAGGTACCACACATTCATCCATATTACCATTAAAATGGGATAGAAGATCAAGAACCAAGTAATATGTGGCTAGCAAAGGTACAGTAAAATCCGAATCACAGTTCCCTGTTGAAATTGAGTGAAAGCCTTGGCTTTGAGCTTCTCAGTAGCCAAGGTTAAAAAGGAAGTACTAAGAGCAGTCTAGGCTAAATACTGACTGGTAAAGGGGGAAGAGAGCTGTGGAGGCCCAGGAGGTCGTGGGTTTTGTGGACATGAGTTTATATACTATTATGTTGTACAGTGTGTCCTTATTTCTTTGTTTCAATGTTGTCTTGTATTCCTTTGTTATTGTTTTATTGTGTTTGATTTCTCTATTTAAAGGGAAACTGCTTGATTGTTCATGTACTACCTCAAAGCCCTTCAGTGCTCTGTATATAACAAATAATACATCATGCATGTTAGATGTTTGTAATATGTAGACAGAGGTGGCGAGACTGGAGCCTTGTATTATTCAGCTGCCAGAGCAGAGTCCCTGGGATAGCTGTTAATTATAAGAATATTAACATAAGGCTTGGTAAACTTTTGATAGTTAATCAGTGAAAACAAGAACAAAAAGGGAAGTTGATGGCAGCAGGTCAGCACACAGGTTAACTGTTCAGAACTGAGGCAGTCATAGTACTGACTGAAGTGGTGGTTGCTTCCAGGCTCTGGGGTAACTTCATCCTTACCCACGAGAAAGCTTTTAAAGCTCATCTACAGTGAGAGGTGGCAGGACTGTGCGATTGAATTTCCCTGGTTCTTGGTTCTAGCAGAGTCCTGCCATGTTATGGGCAGTGAGCATGACGCAGTGTGATAGTATGATCTTAGGGAAGAGGTCAGAGTTCCCTTGGTCCTCATTCAAGGACCTAACTAGACCTGATTCATGGTGCACACATGGTTTCTCCTTGAGTTCAGCAAATAAAGTTCAGTGAGCCATTTTATGTCGTAGCAGAAAGTCTCCTGGAGAAAAATGGGGAAACTATTTTTCTATGAGGAAGAAGGGTTCTGTGAGTTGACATTTAAGATTCTTGATTTGGCATCTTTTTACGTTGTGATGTAGTGTCATTGTGACTAGGTCTCCCCTCCCCCACCTCCCTGCTGTTTACACAGTAATGTGTCACATATGTTTAAAAGGAAAAAGTGCTTTTAAAATTTAATCTCATATATTTAAATCATTATGTCATACACCTAAAATATGTTATATGTCAGTTTTTCTTAAAACTGGAAAAAAAGTCTCTTATGTAATTAGCAAAAAGCTGAAGTGTCAGACAACATGGGTAAACAAAATATTAGCTAAAATCTTAGGATTTTGGATGTTATTTTCTTGTATACTATTCTGTATTTTTGAAGTTTTCTATGCCAAGCAAGTAGAATCATGTGATCACAATCTATGATTTATACTCAGGGAGAGTAATAAAAATAATACATAATGTAAAAAATGCAGTGAAATGTATTGAATGAGAGGCAACCTGGATTAGGGACAAATTGCTTATTAACACATGTGGGGACCTTCTCTGTTCTCTATGAAAATGGTGGGGAAATCGTGTTCCCTACCTCCTTAAAAGAGTATTGAAAGGAAAAATAGATAAGTATCAAGAGAGGGACCTTACTTTGCGTCGGCAGGTGAAGGACACTGTGTGAGTATATGGAAACATGACTTTACTGCTGAACAAAGTTGTTGTTAATGATCTTTTCTGAATTTGACTCCTACAGAGAAAGCAAAAGCCTCCAATGGATGTGTCCTTGTGCACTGCTTGGCAGGGATCTCCCGCTCCGCCACCATCGCCATCGCCTACATCATGAAGAGGATGGATATGTCCTTGGATGAAGCTTACAGGTGAGGACGGGAACATGCCCTGTGTGAGTGGCTTCTCCTTTGACTTGAATCATGAGGAGATATGAGAGTGGGTGACCACGATTATTTTAGTTAACACTCTTTACAGGTGACTTGATTTTTAAATGTTTCAAGGTTGGAGAAAAATGTATTTTTATAATTTAGCACTAATTCTACCCTCCCATGAATCAAGTTCATCCTCAGCTGCTTTATTAAGTTTGAAAAAAGTGAAAGTATTAGACACAGTCATGTCCAACTCTTTGCGACCCCATGGACTGTAGCCTGCCAGGGTCCTCCATGCAAGAATACTGGAGTGGGTTGCCATTCCCTTCTCCAGAGGATCTTCATGACCCAGGGATCGAACCTGAGTCTCTTGCACTGCAGGCAGATTCTTTACCATCTGAGCCACCAGGGAAGTCCTGAGTTTTTTTAAGTTTAAGAAACAGCAAAGCTAGAGATCTTTCCCTAATTGGAGAAATATCATTTGTTCTAATTTACACATGAGAAAAAATGCTCCAGGAGAATACTCATTATAGAATTCGTACTGTACTTCAGACTCTCTCGCTTTCACTGAGGATAAAGTCCAGTATATGTAAGTATAAAACCAAATAATTGTCAAACTCCATTCACAATCTAGACTTGCCCAGTTTTTTTTTTTTTTAATATTTATTGAAGCATAATTGATTTACAATGTTGGCAATTTCTGCTGTGTGGCAAAGTGATTCAGCTATACAGGCACATATTCTTTTTTATATTCTTTTCCATTATGGTTTGTCACAGGATATTGAATATAGTAGGACCTTGTTATTTATCCAGCCTATATATAATAGTTGGCACCAGCTAATCCCAAGCGCCCAATCTACCCACCCCTTGGCAATCACAGGTTTGTTCTTATGTCTGTTTCTGTTTCGTAGATATGTTCATTTGTGTTGTGTTTTAGATCCCACATAGAAGTGACAGCATATGGTATTTCTCTTTCTCTTTCTGACTGCACTTAGTATGATAATCTCTAGGACCACCCATGTTGTTGCTACTGGCATTATTTCATTCTTCTTCATGTCTGAGTAATATTCATGTGTGTGTGTGTGTGTACACACACATCTTCTTTATCCATTCATCTGTTGGTGAACATTGGTGTTAATGTATTTTTTGAAATTATACTTTTGTCTGAGTTTATGCCCAAGAGTGGGATTGCTGGATCATATGGCAACTCTATTTTGTTTTTTGAGGAACTTCTGTACTGTTTTTCATAGTAGCCGCACTAATTTACCTTCCCATCAATGGTGTAAGAAGGTTCCCTTTTCTCCATAACCTCTCCAACATGTATTATTTGTAGACTTTTCAGTGATGGCCATTCTGATTGTGGGAGGTGATATCTCACTGTAGTTTTGATTTGCATGTCTCTAATTAGCAATGACAGACATCTTTTTCATGTCCCCATTGGCCATCTGTATGTCTTCTTTGGTGAAATATCTATTTAGGTCTTCTGCCCATTTTTTTATTGGATTGTTTGTGTATTTTAGAAATTAAGCCCTTGTCAGTCACATCATTTGCAAATATTTTCTTTCATTTCTTGGTTGTCTTTTTGTTTTATGGTTTCCTTTGCTGTGCAAAAAGCTCCTAAGATTGATTGGGTCCCATTTGTTTATTTTGGTTTTTATTTCTATTACCTTGGGAGACGGTCTTAAGAAAACATCAGTACAATTTATGTCAGAGAATGTTTTGCCTATGTTTTCTTTTAGGAGTTTTATGGTGTCATGTCTTATATTTAAGTCTTTAAGCCATTTTGAATTTATTTTTTATGTATGGTGTGAGGGTGTGTTCTAACCTCATTGATTTGCATGTGGCCGTCCATAGACTTGCCCAGATTTTGCAGTGTATAATTTTGACTGGTTGCCCCCAATCTCATTCTCCAGACAGAAGGCAGCCAGTGATGGCAGCACCAAGGACTGGGGTTGTGTTGAGGGACATATGAAGCAGAGCCCTCTGTGTATCTTGTTGGATAGAGGTGCTTAGTCTCCATGCGATAACGGATCAATAAATATATGCACACAGAACCAGACCTGTTGTAACAATAGGATTTTTTTTCTCAAATTGGAAAATTTGGAACAAAGAAATGAGCTACTCGAACAGTCTCTCACTGGAGGAAGGAAGTGGGAAGGCAGGTCCTCCCGAACCCCACACAAACCAGCAAGAAAGGCACCCTCATATCCTCATAGGGGATCTTAGCATGAAGACCCTGTATTTACACTTGTCACAGTTGAGCCAGTTATTTCTGGCTTTGTTAATTTTTGCTTTAGGTTACGTATTTCTAAGGAGTTTGAGTTTTCTCTTTCCTTCCTTATTCAAATTCTTAGGGTAGTTTCACTCCTTCATCTTCTGAGGCGTGTCCGTGAGAGTCAGGGGCCACTAAAGAACATATCTACTATTTCTGAATCTTTGTTTCTGCAATGAAATGGAAAAGCTGTTTACTACTAGTTTTGACTAGTTGGTGACTCTTTTAACAAGGTGGTTACAGGAATGAATCCAGATGTTAGACCTTGTTTTGAATCCCAGCCCCATCCTTTAATAACTGTGTGACTGGGGCAAGTCACATAAGGACTGTGTGTACCTCCGTGATAGAGGGTAGTTTTGAGGGCTGAATGAGCTAATACTCTTGTTAGTGCATTAACATCATGCTTAGCAGACAGTCCACTGTGTGACTGGTTATTCTGTCCCATTAAATACAAAGAGCAGGGAGCTGAGAAGTGTGTGCTTTGAAGCTCTGGCCATCTGATACCCTCTCTCTTTTGGTCATTAATTATAGATGTGAAATTTCTCGAAGTCACTGTGGGGACTCTGACATTGGAAAGTTGAAGGTGGTGTGCCTGTTAAGCTATACCTCTGATGGGAACACCAGTGCAGGGGCGGGGGTGAGGGTGTCCCAGGTGGTGAGGAAAGAATCATCTCTTACCAGCTGCATGGGAAACATTGTGCACATGCTGAAGTTGCTCAGTCGTGTCTGACTCTTTGCGACCCCATGGACTGGAACCCACCAGGCGCCTCTGTCCATGGGGATCCTCCAGGCAAGAATACTGGAGTGGGTTGCCATGCCCTCCTCCAGGGGATTGTACGCAGGTCTCCTGCCTTGCAGGCGGATGCTTTACCATCTAAGCCACCAGGGAAGCCCAAGAATACTGTAGGGGTTAGCCTATCCCTTCTCCAAGAAAACTTGCCAGCCCAGGAATCGAACTGGGCTCTCCTGCATCGAGGTGGATTCTTTACCAGCTGAACTAACCAGGGAAACCCACTGGAAGCCTTAAGTCCTTGAAAATAGGGAGGATGAACCTAGAACTTTGGGGGCTGGGCTCCCTGCTTTCTAGCATTCTCAGGGTCCTCCTGTAAAGCTCCCCAAGGCAGAGGCCCGTACCTCCTCCTCCACCCGCTCCCTGAACTTTTAATCCAGCCATCTTCCAGAGGTCTTGGGAAGCCCTCTCTGATAATTCAGTCTCGCCTCTTCACTTACTGTACCTGAATATCTTTAACAGGTCAGCTGTCCGATTCAGGCCTTTTTGGTTTTTCCCACTCACAGATTTGTGAAAGAAAAAAGACCTACTATATCCCCCAACTTCAATTTCCTGGGCCAGCTCCTGGACTATGAGAAGAGGATAAAGAGCCAGACCGGGGCCGCTGGGCCCAAGAGCAGACTGAAGCTGCTGCCCCTGGAGAAGCCCGGCGAGCCGGCTGCCGGGCCCGGCCCCGTGGAGGGCGCACAGGGGAGCCAGCTGCCCCCAGGGCCGCCCCGTGCCCACCCGGCTCCCGCTCCCTCCGAGGGGGCGGGGCCCCGGCCTGCGCCCCCCAGCACGGCCGCCGCCGACGGCCCCCTGGTCCAGGCGCTCAACGGGCTCCACCTGCCCTCGGACAGGCTGGAGGACAGTGGCCGCCTCAAGCGCTCCTTCTCGCTGGACATCAAGTCGGTGTCCCCGACGCCCGGCGGGCTCTCATCGCCCGAGGCCGCCCTGGAGCTCTACAAGCCCGCCACCTCCGGCCTGGAAGGCGCGGGCAAGCCCTGCCAGCCCTGCCAGTTCTCTCCGGTGCAGGAGGTGTCAGAGCAGACGCCGGAGGCCAGCCCGGACCGCGAGGAGGCCCCGCCGCCCCGGCCCTCCGACGGCAGCGGCCAGGGTGCACGGCCCCGCCCGGGGCGGCCCCTGTGGTCGCCCCTGCACCGCAGCGGGAGCGTGGAGGACCGCGGGCAGCCCCGCTTCCTCTTCGGCCTCTCGGCCAGCCAGCAGCACCTGGCCACGTCGGCCACGGGGCTGGGCCTGGAGGGCTGGCACTCGGACCTCCTGGCCCCCCAGACCTCCGCCCCGGCCCTGACCAAGAGCTGGTATTTCACACCAGAGCCCCCGCACTTCTACTCAGCCTCGGCCGTCTATGGGGGCCGCGCGGGCCACCCTGCCTTCAGCTGCAGCCAGCTGCCCACGTGCGGCGGGGACCCCGGGCACTCAGTGCGCCGGCGCCACAAGCCCGGCGACAGGGCCGACTCCCGGCGCAGCTGGCACGAGGAGAGCCCCTTCGAGAAGCAGTTCAAGCGTCGAAGCTGCCAGATGGAGTTCGGTGAGAGCATCAGGTCCGAGAACCGGTCGCGGGAGGAACTGGGCAAGGTGGGCAGCCAGTCAAGCTTTTCAGGCAGCATGGAAATCATCGAGGTCTCCTGAGCAGGAGGACACTTGTGACTCCCGTGGACAGGACTTGTCTTGTTCACGAAAACTAATTCCCTGTAAATCTGAAATATATATATGTACATATATATTTTTGGAAAATGGAGCTATGGTGTAAAAACAACACATGGATCCACACCATTCTTTTTTTTTAACATCTGCAGTTGAGAGAGCAGCTAATACTTCTCTCAACACAAATGGAAGGGTCCAGGCCAGCTTTCCCCCAGACACGTGACACAGTTCTATGCAATGGATTGCACATCCTCCCGTTCTTACTAGACTGAGTTCTGCTTGGAGTTGGAGGACGGAAGCCCCCACCGTTCTCTTGTTGTGCTACAAAGAGATCTCAGATCCTAGTCCTGTCTGGTCCCTTCCGTAGTGCACCTTAGCGCTGAGACTGAGCCAGCCTGTGGGTCGGGCGGGGAGACCCCGTTAGGAACAAAACCTAATGGTAAATCCACAAAGAACCATCATGTCCAAAGCCGATGCACAGATCCAAGCGCACCCGCCAGCCGCTGCGCTGGCTGCCAGCGTCATTCTGCTGACCGACCATTAGGGGGCCTTGCCAAGACCTACTTTAGAGCAACCCCAGTACCTCAGACAGAAAGTCGGGGCTTTCACCACTACCAGGTCTGGTGGCCCGGTTTCTAGGCATTGTGAACAGGTAGGTAGCTAGTCACACCTTTCGACCAATTTAGACGGTCTCTGCAGGCATTTCCAGTTAGGCCTGGATGGAAGTGGTCTGGCTCCTCTTCTTGGCTTTGTGAAGAAGGAAGGTGAAGCTATCTGAGATCAACTGAACAGCCAGGAATCTGGCAGCATCATGATTTAAGCTAATGTTGGGAGGCTAAATGAGTCTACCTCCCTCTTTCTAAATCAAAAAAACTGTTCAAGATGGGCTTGTTAATCTTGGGAAGTAAAGGTTAACCTGGTTTCAAGCCAGATGTGAATTTATTTGGTAGCAGAGCAGCACCCCCTTCAAGGTCTCAGCCAAACTAGGTATTTTCTATTTTGGTTTCACTGCACAGAGGTATTTTGTGAAAATGGAACAATAAGGTGGAATTTTATTGGAAACTACCAAGAGGCAGAAAACTGTGGAAGGATAAGAGAAGATAAAATTACTGAGGAGCAGCAGGGGGCTGTTATTTTCTCAGTGGGTTTTTTTTTCCCCCTTAGCATGTGACGAAGGTGGTATTTTCTGTGATTTCCTTAGGCTTTCATACTGTTAGGGCTGAGAGGCTTTCGTAAGCCAGGGGTGCTCAGAACTAAAGGGTATAGAAAGGTGAGGAGGAGGCGGACAAATTTTGTTTCATCACAAACAAGAGTGGAAAGACACACCCACGCTATTCTCAAACTACCCCCAGCATTTTTTAGTAGAAGGGACACCAAAATGGAGCGGGACCAAGTGGTCTCAGTCCGTACCTACAATCACTGTATGGAATCAACCCTGGCAGCTGAAACTAGGTGATTAGAACAAGTAAACAAGTGATAGTACTTACCTGCTTTTAAACTTCCTGGCTTGAGTTTTGTCAGCTACAGTCTGGTCCTGTTTTGAAGCCTTAATTCACGTCAGCAGCTTTTTTTTTTTTTTTAAGGGTGGTGGGTAGGTGTTCGTGTTGTTCTTTACTGTAAGTGTAGCTAGTTGCTGACTCATATCTCAGGTTTTTCTACGTGTGAGAAATGGACAGTCCTTTGAGTCAGATGTGACTTCATGTTTCTTATGGTGACTGCTAAAACCAGCATAGAGTGAAATGATTCAAAACTGACTTGATTGTGACAATTCTGAGCTTCGTAGAACATAACTGGTTATGCACAAACAATGGGCTGTGATATGGGTGTAAAATGAGAGTAAACTGTGTAGGGAGTGCATTGTTACCATACTGGAAAGGTTCTGTTAAGTGATTTAGCTTTTCTCTATACATGCAAATTCTGGGTGTAATCAGACCCAATTATCAAGGTTTCACACATTGATTTTTGATGTGTTACATACACACGCACCAACTGTGTAACAGCTCCCAGCTTCCAGAGTCTGGTCACAACTGTGGAACATTTTTGAGAAGTGAAAGCAATGGCTCCAATGCTGTATGTTTCAGGAAGGTTGTGGGATTCGGTTTTAATGAGATATTTGGGCTGAACTGGCCTTCCAATCTTCGGGATTTCTCTTGGCCATGGTCCCCTTCCTTCCTGTGACCGATGTGGTCCTATGTTACAGCTTTTAGTTCTTGATCGCTAATGTCAAATAATCAGCCCTCGGAATGGAGACTTCCCAGCTGAGGGGACAGCCTCTCGGGCCAGCCCTGGAGCCACATGGGTGGCCATGGGCCCCAGGTGGCTGGTTCTCTGCACCGTGAATCAGAGGGGGAGCGCTGGAGCCTACCAGATGATACAGAATGGTGATATTAAACAGCAGAACTAGACTTCGATGTGAGAAATGCTGGAAAATGGTTTAGGACATTTGTAAAGTTGGGTGGGAAGACTGTATAAATGTGTAATATGAATATAGTGTTCTTTTGGAGTAAGGCAAGCTGTTGAATGGTTACAATTGTGCATTTCTCATTCTGATGTGTCATGAATGTTAATATGATGAAATAAAATCAAAACTGGTACCTGTTTATACATAAATATGAGAAGGGACCTCTCTCTGCAGCACGTCCAAGGGGTTAGGGAGGCCGTGGTGGGGCCTGGCCTGCTGGCCTCCCATCAGAGGGTTCAGCTCAAGGTGAAATGCTGAGTCCTCAGCCTGTATCACAGGCTCCATCTTGCACAGGGAACACGCGTGGGAGCTAACAGTCTACTGCCGTCATCGTCATCCTTTCACGGGTACATCAGATGCACACTATGGCATAGAAACCTTAAAGGTAAACATTTGCTGACTGGCTGAATCCAGAATGGTTCAGGGTAGGAAGAAAAAAGACAAACATTCACGGTGCATTTTGTAAAGTTTTAGAATTCTTGTAGGAAAAACTGAGGGAGAGTAGTTATTTCAAGATCTGTTCTCCATCCTTGTCATCCACGTCCTAATGACCTCTGCTTCTAAGTGATGACAGTGGGCACAACGACTCATGAGACTAGAAGCTCAACCTCATCAGGTTGTTAGTGAAAAAAAAAAAAAGATGACGCATTAAAGGAATAAGCATTTACCTTCAGTGCAAGCAGACAGGATACTGATGACACTGATAGTCACAGGTGACATCATTTCAGTTGGTTGCGAGAGGCTTCTGAGCTGAAGTTAGATTTAAGGAAATTTAAAAGAAGGAAGGATTGGACGGAGTGAGTGAAGACCAGAAAGAGCTGTCTTGGCTAGGACCTTGCCAAAAGGTGGACGTGGGTGTGGGACAGAGGAACAGAAAGACAAAATGTTAGTTGCTCAGTTGTGTCTCTCTGTGACCCCATGGACTGTAGCCTGCCAGGCTCCTCTGTCCATGGGAGTCTCCAGGCAAAAATACTGGAGTGGTTGCCATGCCTTCCCTACCCCAGGATCAAACCCAGGTCTCCTACATAGATTCTTTACTGCCTGAGCCACCAGGGAAGGCGTAGGAATAAATCTGCCTTAAGATGTAAGGTGGCAGGAGGGAGCACGTGCCTCGGTGAGGCTTTGGATGAGAACTTGTAGGTGTTGGAAGGCCCGGAGGTCAAGCCAGTTGTGATTTAGACAGACTTAAGGGCCTCTAGGGGATCACCAGCCATAGCAGGCTGGCATCGAAGGGCTAGTTTCGGTGTGACATGACCAGACCAGGGCTCAGGCTAAAGGGAAGCAGGGTAGGTGCAGATGTGAAGGGTCAGGCATACACAATGGGACAAGTGGACACGAACTTCATCATCAGGATGAAGTTCACTGTCATTTTATCTTAGATACTCCTGTCTGGTGGTTTTCCTTTTCTGACACTAAGCAGAAATGTTTTTGGTCTAGTAAACAAAATTTAGGTCTAGGGGCTTTTTCTCTATAAATATTAATCTTCTGCTTCTATCAGTGAAAGAGGAATGTGAGTTATTTCTTGCATTGTGTGTGGCTCATTCATCCGTGTACAGCAAAATTATACTTGGTTATCTTTGAAACGTTGCAAAAATCAACCATGAGAATTACCACAGCACCAACTTGGAAGAAGTTGCAAGTCAATCATACTGTTGCAGTTTACGTACACAGATATCAAGCTGGTTATCTATATCAAAGGAATAAAAACAAGTTTCATTCCTTTGCTTCTGGCTAACACACGAGTTGGTTCAAAATGCTTTCTTGTAGGACATGCAGAATATGACTTTGGAGGAGGGTGTCACAAGCAAACAGGATAACTGGAAGAGGGTTATTAGCTCAGCGGTGGCCTAGCTTCTCTGGTCAGGGGAAGTATGACATTTTCAAAGACTGTATTAAGTTTTTAGCATAAATCTTGCTTCACTATATAATAAAAGGTAGCAACAAGAATTTGCCTTGATTGGTGAAGAAAATTAATCAAATCATCAATAAGTTCCATCCTGTCTTATGCTGACACTGATGACCCTGAACAAACTCCTTAGAGTAATGGACACACACACACACACACGACAGCCCACCACATCAGTACTGCTTATACTAATAAGCAACTAGATTTAGTTGCCAAAAAAGTTCTAACATTATGGTTTGAAGCATGGGAATAATTAGGTTTTCTGGTTACCCTTTCCTTCTGTAGTCCCAACATCTGCATGGGAGATACATGCCTCGTGTGAGTGCAAGAAATTAAGTGTTACCGACCACAAACCAGAAAACAACGATGACCTCTCTTAGGCACTGTGTAGCTCTTAACAAAGGAATGAAAGTCAGGGTGAAGGGAAAGCAAAATTACTTCTCTCACAATTAAGAAAAAACCTACACCTAAAAATTCCACAAGAAAATATTTCCCTTCTCTCTATTCTGCCCTTCAGTTTTTAGCATCAACATTTCAAATTTCCAACTGAGTACTACATATCTGGGTTTAGCTGAGGGGTAAACAAAATAGGAAGATAAAATTTTTAATTACTCTAGGAAACAGCAAACCCATCACATTCCCAAAATCTGTTCAAAAAAGTAAAGTATTGAGGAGGAAAAAGTAAAATGTTACCAGTCAGGGTTCAATCTGTGAAGAACCATTAGGAATGATATAGAATAAGGAGGTTGTTCAAGAGACTTACCTTACACAATTAATTAGAGGAGCTGGTCAGAGTCCTGGTTTGGCTATTTCTTCTCCACCGGAAGTCGCTAGGCAGGTGGTCAGGAAAGCAGCTGGATGGGCGGTGGGGATGGATGGATGGATGGGGTGATGGGGATGGACGGGCGATGGAGGATGGAGGGATAGGCAATAGAGGACAGAGGGATAGGCGGTGAGGATAGATGGATGGATGGGTGGTGGAGGATGGATGGATGGGCAGTGGGATGGATGGGCAATGGGGGATGGAGGAATAGGCGGTGGACACCTGAAGCCTGCAACAAGCTAGAACCAGCATCTGTCTCCACCAGAACCCACGCTGGCCTCGTCTGTTTTCTAAGCCCTCATCCTCTGTGCTGCAGAAGACCTAAGGAGACGCTGGTGCTCATTCATACCTGACCCAAGATGCTGAAAAGCTGAAGGCAGAGTTCTGGGGAGCTGGCCTAGCTTCTGCCCACACCATAGGTGCAACAGATCCCTGAAAATGTGCAAGAGATGCAACAGGGCCTGACCGACAGGGACTTTCATCAAACATACATATATGTTGCTTTACTTCCACTAACAAAGCTCATGCAAATTTCTCTTGTGGCCAACCCTAATTGAAAAGGGACAGGGAAGGGATTCCAGGAAATGTAATCCAATTTGGCCAAAGTTGACAACACTGCAGAACCACCACATACCAGAAATATTAAATTAACTAGAATTATTTCAAAACACATCAGATCTGCCTATTGTTCTTACTGCCCTGCCTCTTCCCAGTATAAGTAGCCTGTGGACCCAAATCTAAGTTAATACCATGTTTTGTCTAACATCTTTGTAAGAAGGAAAAGAACTGGATGGAGAACTGGCTGTCAGAGTTGTTTTGCACGCTGTGCTAGGTTGCCTTTCTGCACGTACAAACCAGAGGAAAGCTCTGTCCTCATAGGCTTAGTCGTGTGTCACTGTGTTATGTTATTTTATTTATAAATTGTATTAACTGCAGTGAGGATAATGGGACCTGACCCCTGAGCTGTTCTTACAGCTCGGTAGACAACCAGCCCTTCCTTCTTTGAAGGCTATAAGCTACTTGGTGTTCAGAACCAGGTTCTGACATCACAGGAACTCAAAAGACAATGATGGTGAGGGCTGAAAAATGCCACATTCTGTCAGTCTAGCGGAAGGGAAGATGAGAATGCCTCGTATTATTTTTTTCAGCTTTTCTGCCAGTTTGAAGTTAAAAAAAAAAGTGAAGTTAGGGAAAAGGGGGTGTTTATGTAGCCACATCAGATATTAAAATGTATTATGAAATTTTAATATTAAAAGTGTGAAAAAAAAAGAAAAACAGCATGAAACAGTATGAAGACAAAGATCAATGGATTCAAATAAAGTCCAACACCAGATTCTCAATTACATGAAAATTTAATGCACAAGAGGAACACTGCAATGTGGCAGTGGGTGGGGGGCATTATTTAACAAACATTGTGGCCTTCCCATCCTTGACATTTCCTAGAGTAACCTTAGCTACTCAACAGGTTTCTAAAATTACAGAACATCTTTCCTGATGTGAACTCTGATGAATTGCTCCAGAAATGGTTCAAAGCCCCACTGAAATCCCGACCATCAAAGGCATTTATAAAGACAAGCTTCTCAGGGCACCCAGAGATGGTGCTCTGGGACAACCTAGAGGGACAGGGTGAGGAGGCAGGTGGGAAGGGGGTTCAGGAGGCGGGGGGACCACAAGTATAGTTGTGGCTGATTCACATTAACGTATGGCAAAAACCACCACAATACTGTGAAGTAATTACCCTCCAATTAAAATAAATAATTTAAAAAAAAAAAACAGGAGGGAATACAACTTGTAAAAAAAAGAAAAAGAAGAGCTTCTTTCACCAGAATGGCCCCCAAACCTCTGAAAGTCTAGCTCCCCACTCCCAGTGCAGAGCTTCCAACCCCTCCCTGGCTCCCTCAGGCCACTTCACCTTCCTGGGCTGGGCGTCTACCCACTTTCCTCATGGTGCAAAGAAGCGGTTCCCAGAAGGGTGCCCTCTGAGGAAGGCAGACGCCATCTTGGCCTCTGCATTTGGCTCTGGGTTCCAACCTGTCTTTCCGGCTCCGAGAGAGTGACATCTTGATATGTCTTGGTCCCTAGAGAATTCTAGAAGCTGTTGATTTTTATACCATGTCTAAATTTTAGAAAATTATATTTTCCATTGAGCTTCGAATGTTTATACTTGAGCCATCATGCAGTTGTTTTATGCTCTACATTTTACTCTGGGTTCTAAGAACCTTACAGGATAGTGTTCGATCAAATTTGATCAAAATCTGATTAGAAGAATCAGATGACGTTTACCTGAGAGATGCTAAATTAAGTGGGATCAATTTTAACCTTATAAATATACCGAAGGCTGTTTGGACACGTAAAAAGTCACCCTCTGAGGTCTGGAGAAACCTCGGGAGCCCCGTGGGCCCCAGTGACCTCCCTCTATCCCCAGCTCCTGGTCTCCGTCTTCCGGCCTGGGTCAGTCCTGCATTCCATTTCTTGGCTTCTGCAGTCTTCTCATCTGCTAGAACCTTTATGACGTGCAAAGTACTGTGCTAAGAACTTCTGTGGTTCCTCAAATTGCTTCATTTCCTAAACTCCCAGAGAAATTCAGCAGTGCTTGGAGAAAGTGCTTTCTTCAGAAAAGAAGGTCAGGGACTACACAGCCCTTTTTGCATGCAGACACAGTGTCTGGCCCAGGCAGTGCACCCCGAGGATGCCTCTGGGTGTGCACTTTTCCTCTCCGCTCCACGCGTCTGCAAAACTGCTAAAGCGATGCTGGCTAAAACCTGCTTCAGAAACTGGAGTCCTGCCAACGCTGATGTAACAAGAGGAAACCTAAACTATGTCTGCATCAAGGAAACCCATTATCAGTGGGAGACGGACCCAACCAGGCTGTGGAAAGGGAGGCTTCAGTTTCCAATGACGACACGGCAGGGACACCCTAAGCTGTCACAGGAGCAATGCCAGCTCCTTGCCAGGCCAGATCGAGACTGGCTGCAATGGAAACATGACACGCACACCTGGATTAAGTTAGTTCTTTATCTTTACAACCCGGACAGCCTATGGAGAAAAATGTCACAAAGGCATCAGGGACACAGGGCTTCCTCGAATCCTCTTCCCCCTTCTCTTAATAGTTTCAGTCTGCAAGCTAGATTAGATAATATACATTGTCAATTAAAAAAAAAGCAAACTAAATTAAAAAATAATAATTCCCAAGGCAGGGTTCTGTACAGAATTCCTAAGAGTTCAAATATTCCCACTTCAGAGACCAGGGAGGGCAGGTTGGTTGGCTTTGCAGGGGAAAGTGCGTCAAGGGCAGAGCTGGGGCATCACAGGTGCCATCACGGACTGCCTCCCGTGCCCTCAGGGAGCACCACACTCCCCTGACCTAGGTCACCTCCTGTGTCTCTGATTCCCAAGGCCCGGAGCCCTGGCGGTGCTGGGGGACATGGCTACAGCCTGAGCTCGCGGTCGGGCTTCACGCTGAAGGGCTCCAGGCGCTCGGCCTCGGGCAGCAGGCTGTTGAGCCGCTCCAGCAGTGGTACCGTTTGGTCTATGCCCATCTGGATGCGACGCAGGATGGCTGACATCTCGTTGACCTTTTGGATCTGCTCGGCGTATTTGGCGTACCTTTTCTGGCGCTCCTGCATGAAGCTAAAGAGGGTTTCTACAGACAGATCCATCTGCAGGGGCGAGAAAAGTGAGACACGTTCAATCCGGTGGAAACAAGTCGGTGAGAGGATGGGGCCGGGCTCCGTGAGCAACAGGTGTGGAGCACAAGCCACGTGGGGGAGGACCAGCATTCCTGGAAGTGGACTCATGGGGGACGAAAGCCTTCCTGAATGTGGCTGGAACCCTCCGCAGGGGGAGTGAGGTGAAGGCCTCCAGCTCCAGTTCTGGGTGTGTGAGCCACTTAGTCCTGGGTGAGGCCCAGGGAGTTTCTAGCTTTTTTTCTCTAAAGAAAGAATCCTGGGCTGGGAAATCAGGCAGATGGGGTTTGACTCTGGTTCCACCCTTGTATAGATGGAGAAGCTCTATAAATCAGCAAAAACAAGACTGGAAGCTGACTGTGGCTCAGATCATGAACTCCTTATTGCAAAATTCAGACTTAAATTGAAGAAAGTAGGGAAAAGCACTAGGCCGTTCAGGTATGACCTAAACCAAATCCCTTACGATTATACACTGGAAGTGAGAAATAGATTCAAGGGATTAGATCTGATAGAGTGCCTGAAGAACTATGGACAGAGGCTCGTGACACTGTACAGGAGGCGGTGATCAAAACCATCCTCAAGAAAAAGAAATGCAAAAAGGCAAAATGGTTGTCTGAAGAGGCCTTACAAATAGTTGAGAAGAGAAGTGAAAGGCAAAGGAGAAAAGATATATCCATCTGAATGCAGAGTCCCAAAGAAAAGCAAAGAGAAGTAAGAAAACCTTCCTAAGTGAACAATGCAAGGTAACAGGGGAAAACAACAGAATGGGAAAGATTATAGAGATCTCTTCAAGAAAATTAGAGATACCAAGAGAACATTTCATGCACAGATGGGCACAAAAAGGACACAAACAGTATGGACCTAAGAGAAGCAGAAGATATTAAGAAGAGGTGGCAAGAATACACAGAAGAACTATACAAAAAAGATCTTAATGACCCAGATAACCACGATGGTGTTATCACTCACCTAGAGCCAGACATCTAGGAGTGTGAAGTCAAGTGGGCCTTAGGAAGCATCACTACGAACAAAGCTAGTGAAGGTGATGGAATTCCAGCTGAGCTACTTCAAATCCTAAAAGATGATGCTGTGAAAAGTGCTGCACTCAATATTCCAGCTAATATGGAAAACTCAGCAGTGGCCAGAGGACAAGAAAAGATCAGTTTTTCCTTCCATCCCAAAGAAGGGCAATGCTGAATAATGTTCAAACTACCACACAAATGCACTCATTTCACATGCTAGCAAAGTAATGCTCAAAATTCTCCAAGCCAGGCTTCAACAGTATGTGAGCCAACAAGCTGGATTTAGAAAAGAGAGAGGAAGCAGAGATCAAATTGCCAACATCCACTGGATCATAGAAAAAGCAAGAGAATTCCAGAAAAACATCTGCTTCATTGACTATGCTAAAGCCTTTGACTATGTGGATCACAATAAACTGTGAAAAATCATTCAAGAGATGGGAATACCAGACCACCTTACCTGCCTCCTGTGAAACCTGTATGCAGGTCAAGAAGCAACAGTCAGAACCACACATGGAACAATGGACTGGTTCAAAATTGGGAAAGGAGTATGTCAAGGCTGTATACTGTCACCCTGCTTATTTAACTTTTATGCAGAGTACATCATGTGAAATGCTGGGCTGGAGGAAGCACAAGCTAGAATCAAGACTGCCAGGAAAAATATCAATAACCTCAGATTTCCAGATGATACCACCCTGATGGCAGAAAGTGAAGAGGAAGTAAAGAGCCTCTTAATGAGGGTGAAAGACGACAGCTAAAAAGTTGGCTTAAAACTCAACATTCAAAAAACAAAGATCATGGCATCCGGTCCCATCACTTTATGGCAAATTGATGGGAAAACAATGAAAATGTGACAGATTTTATTTTCTTGGGCTCCAAAATCACTGCAGATGGTGACTGCAGCTATGAAATTAAAAGATGCTTGCTCCTTGAAAGAAAAGCTATGACATACCTAGACAATGTATTAAAAAAGACTTTAGTTTGCCAATAAAGGTCCTCTAGTCAAAGCTATGGTTTTTCCAGTAGTCATGTATGGATGTGAGAGTCGGACCATAAAGAAGGCTGAGCACTTCAGAATTGATGCTTTTGAACTGTGATGTTGGAAAAGACTCTTGAGAGTCCCTTGGACTGCAAGGAGATTCAACCAGTCCATCCTAAAGCAGATCAGTCCTGGGTGTTCACTGGAAGGACTGATGCTGAAGCTGAAGCTCCAATATTTTGGCCACTTGATGCAAAGAGCTGACTCATTAGAAAAGACCCTGATGCTGGGAAAGACTGAAAGCATGAGGAGAAGGGGACGACAGAGGACAAGATGGTTGGATGGCATCACTGACTCAATGGACCTGAGTTTGAGCAAGCTCCGGGAGATGGTGAAGGACAGAAAAGTCTGGCATGCTGCAGTCTGTGGGGTAGCAAAGAGTGAGACATGACTGAGCCACTGAACAACAACTGCCACTTGAGTTGCTAATACTCATCCTTCCTGTCTCAGGTTTCTCATCTGCAAAAATCCAGGGACTGATGGCAGATTTGTAGGGTTGTTGGGAGGACAAAATGAGATGAGGTGTGCTAAGACACCAGCTCCAATACTTTGGCCACCTGCTGTGAAGAGCTGACACATTGGAAAGGACCCTGATGCTGGGAAAGATTGAAGGCAAAAGGAGAAGGGGGTGGCAGAGGATGAGATGATTAGATAGCATCACCGACTCAATGGATATGAATTTGAACAAACTCTGGGAGATAGTGGGGGCTTCCCAGGTGGCGTAGTGGTAAAGAACCTGCCTGCTAATGCAGAAGACATAAGAAACATGGGTTTGATCCCTGGGTCGGGAAGATTCCCTGGAGGGTTACAGTCCACAGGATTGCAGGGAGTCAGACATGACTGAAGCAACTTAGCAGACACACACGCATGCCTGGGAGATAGTGGCGGAAAGGGGAACCTGGCGGGCTGCAGTCCATGGGGTCACAAGGATTCGGACATGACTTAGGGTCTGAACAACACCACCGCCCCAGCTCAGGACTCGGCCTGGCACCGAGGAGTTTTAAAACTCGCTTGGTCCTCCATCCTTGCTGCGGAGCACAATCTACATGAGCTGCCTGGAGGGAGTGGCACTCTGTGCCAGAACCACAAATGTCAACCAAGTCAAGTCAGCACCACAAGAGGTAAATAGAGGACTGTTTCATGCACCCTCTCTCCAGTCAAACAAACTTGGGGGTCTGGGCTCCCCTTCTGGGATCTCTTTTCCTCCCCTGATGGGGCTCTTTGGAACCGATCACCTGGATAAGAGCAGGGAGAAGACACCACCAGAGTGTCAGATGCCCGTACCCTTCCTCTGCGTGGACCCACATCCACTCCCTCTCTGCCTGCTGCTGTTCCCTGACCAGGGAGAAAACAATCACACCACCAAGACTCAAGTTTCTGTCTCAAAGTTCAGATGCTCCCTCAGTCCTTCCTTCTTGTGGCTCCCAGAAGCACGGTCCTTCCTAGCCCCGGCATCAGGCAACGTGCTGGCAGGCGCTCAACACCTGTTTCTGCAAAGCCCGAGAGCATGGTGTGATAAAGACAAACACAAAACACTCTAACCTCTGAGAGAGCCTGCCCTTCATTCTCTTACCACAGCTCCTGACCACTGAGCCCTAATCCCTACTGTAGCATGCACCCATGAGCCCCAGACACAGACTTACTCCAGCGTATCTGACACAACTTTAGGCACTGTCAGTATCTAATACAGTTCGGAACCTTTTACCATTTTTTTTAAAACCTTTTTATTCTGTATTGGAGTAGAGCTGATCGATAATGTTGTGACAGTTTCAGGGGCACAGCAAAGTGACCCAGCCCTGAATCTTACCATTTGGACAAACTGGAACATGTTTACCTTTCCCATTTTTATTCTGGCACCGGGATTCCAACAAGGAAGCGTAAATACAATATACAGAGACAGCAGACATTTACTGCCATGCATCCTGTGGAGTCCCAGCGATACGGATATTGAGAATGAGCTGTTTACACCCACACGGCAGACTGTGTGAACTAACATGACTTTCTCTTCCACTCTCTTTGTTAACATGACTTTACTATTCTAGGAAACTCAGGCCTAGAAGGAGAAATGTTGCAAATAACCCTGTTTCAGGAACTTTCAGCAAAATCATTTAAGTTCAAGAAAAAAACTATTAGATTTTTCCAATAGAGAATGACCAGTCCCCATGACTCTTGCCTCAAAACCCTGGCCTTGGTGTGACCACGTGACTAAGGACCAGTCAACGGCACGTACAGGAGGAAGTCTCTCATGGAGCTTCCAGGCGTCTTCTTTAAAAGTTAGCAGGCCTGTTCCTCCTCTTCTCCTTCATCCCTTCCCTCCCTCTGCTGATGCTCAAAAGCAGATGCAGTCCTCATGGGTTGCAAGAATAATGAAGGTCACAATCCTTGGGTTGGCACAGCAGTGAACCAGATGAAGCCTGGGCCTATGAGGACTTTTGCCCAATGCAACTCGTACCAGGAGTGGGAGAGAGCAACAAATTTCCATTCTGTATGAGCCACCGTAATTTGAGGTCTTGGTAAACCAGTGGGATTTAATCTTACACTGATAGAATGAATGTGATAGAGTTCCTACCCTTACCAACTTGCTGTTTACTCCTAAATTCATACTTTAAACCTTGCCCCACATATTCACACATTGTCACTGGTGGCAGTATATTTCAAAGGGCAGGTGAAAAAGGAGATAAGATTATTTGTACAAGTAAAGCTTTACTAAGGCATGAGACATCTGCAGAAGGGGCTCAGACTCGTTCCAAATACCTGATGTGGATTTGCCCATCTGGCTGGTCCATTGCCCAGCAATGGGTCCAAAATATTAGCAAATCAAAGCAGCAATATGCAAAAAGGACTACCAAGTGGGTTTATCTAAAGGATGTAAGCTTTCTCAGCATCTGAAAATGAAAGTTTGTCATTTTGATATAATA